CCTTCTCGGCTACCGTGGAATTTCCTCACCTCGGTGCATTCAATGCTCAGCGGTGCCCGATGTGAATGATGTAGATTCGTGTCCGAGATAGTCGTTCGGTTCCAGCAGTTTAACGAGAGACGAAGAACCGTTGCATCTGCAAGCGCTCGAGCCGATTCCTAGTTGCCGCAGTCGACGTTTACGCATGTCGTACACCCGTTAGTTATTAGTTTCGGAATTCTTATTGTCATCGCTATGCCATTCTTATTCATCTCCGAAGATTAAAGCAGCTCTTTCGCTCGGGCAGGTAGGTAGCCCGAAGACCGTTTGTCGTCGTGGTTCGCGCTGTCAGGTAAACGAACGAGAAAACTGTGAGGCAGGTTGTAAACGCACCTGTAGGAAACCCGCGCCACGCCGGCACTGACGAAGGAGATCGGTCTTTGGTAGGCGGAAAGGGGAGTGCGGTCCGTGCACCCCGCCGCCAGCCAGAGGCAGTCAGAGAGATCGAGAGAAGTCTCGGTCTCGGTCTCCGTCTCTCGTCCACTCTCCCTGTCCTCCTCGATCTCTCCTACAGCCACGTTCCATCTTCCTTCCCAGTCTTTACGCGTCCCGCTTCCACCTTCGGCTTCTTCGTTATACCCCGCCATGCCGGCGTAGCCGTTCGCGTTCCCCGCGCGTTCCCGCTGTCCTTCGGCGTTTCCTTTTTCTTTTTTTTTTCCCCTTTCCGTCTCTTTCTACTGGCAGCAGCCGCCGACGCCCAGCCGGTTTTACACCGGCAAATCGATTCAACCTTACGTACGTCTCGCTGGAGCGAGCGCGGTTCTAGTTCACGGATTCCGGAATTTGCTCCAGTTGGATAGAATAAGCGGCGCGATTGTTCGTCGTGGATGAGCCGTGATTACGAGGCTGATTTGCGCGAGAACATGAATTTCTTATGCCGCCTATTGAACGGCACTTTTTCGTTTCCTTTAATCTATTTTTATATTATTAATGGAGATTTAGAGTCATTAGAAAAGCCGCGGATTGCGATTGGCATTTAGTTCGACGTGGCTATCATTTTGCTCTTGGCTTAGGCTAGGATAGTTGCTCCAGATGCTCGATGTCGTAAAGATTTTCTACAATAAAGCTAAAGCCTTTTTATTTATTTACGATATATATTTTCAGACCGTAACAATTATGCGATAAACAATTTACGTTGGTTGAAGTCCGATATTATTTTCTGCAAATTAATAAAGGATACACAGTATCTTTAATAATTTTGGTTGAAATGGATTATTCTAGATGAATGTTCTTAAAAGATTATTAAGATTTGTAAATAAATTTTATGGAAATTAGAAATTATGACGTTTATTTTCTGGCAAGAGCCACGTTTGCGAACAATTCAAGGGGCGAATTTGATCCATCGATCGACCGACCCCGTGGATATCAGATCGAATTTCTCAAGTAATGCTGCCGTCAGCTGGCTCTGACCAAGAAGTAATTGACTAAAAATGTTTTCTTGTATTCCTTTATTCTTTCAGATATATCGAGGGTAATGTCTCATTTATCATGAATATCTACTCATTCCAGTAAAACAGATCATACGGTTTAGTTATTAATTAGATACTGATAAAAAAGTAGCAAAATGTATTTCATCAAAATACAACAAAATATAGCGAATATAATTTAATATTATTTTTGTTTTCCACTAAATATGTATTTTGCATAGATTCTTATTTTATTATTTTATTTTTATCTCATTTAATATCTTATCATAAAAGTGGACAGATTTCCAGTTTTAATTAATTAATTAATTAAAGAGTTTACAAGTATTATTTCTCTCTTCACCATTTTGTCACCGTTTTTCGAATCCGGTAAATATAATTATTGTTTCTCGACATTTCTCTACCGTATCGAAATCATGTAAAAATCTGCCCTGGCGAGTGCGAAAATTGCATGCTGCAGTTCTGGATTACGTGTGCAATAACGTCGACAGATAAAAGGCCAGCGAACGAAAGTCCTATTCATACGTATGTAATGCCTGTGAACATGTCCCCGTAACAGCGATATATCAATTTTTTTCTCGCGCGGTCTACGAACGTCATCCACGCGATATCCACGTCATGCACGGCCCGGAGAACGGACTCTCGATTTTTTTTCCCTTTTTTTCTAATTGGCAAATCTCATTGCAGGGATATTCGAAACGTTTCCAACCGTAGCAAAAGGCATAACTAGTGCATAAGTAGTGTCATATTACGTTATAACGCATTATAATCGGCGGTGCCGAGAAAGCCCCGGCGTCTACTTGGCGCAGAAACTCGCTCGGGACTGGGTTACGCTACGCCAAAGCGCGGTGTCGTAAAACTCGCCGGCTCCCGTAAAACGAGCACGCGGCGCGACGCATATGGAAATTGATATCACGTATTTCTATACCCGTCAGCTTTTCAAACGCCACGCCGCGCCACGCCGCGCCACGCCGCGCCGCTCCGCGTCGTGCCCGTAGCCACGAGTCGGAGTCGTAGCTGGACGACGCTGGAAGGTCCGATCTCGGATTGATCGGGCGATCCTCAAACGGTCAGTTTGTGAATTCATTTTGCGACTCGTTTCGTCACGGTGGGTACCTGAAAGGGGGACAAAGAGACACGGAGGAACGTTGACGAATCGGTGTCGGCGCGATCGCGTGTCGGTAACGGTACGCGATGACGGTACACCATCTATTTTCCTAAAAGGTCGGGACGCCAAGTACAAGGCCGCCTTGACTATTCCCGCGTGAGAAGAAGATCGCGCTTGAATGGGCGAGACTTTATATTTACATAGCATTAGCCTCTTGTAGCGGAATGCAATGTGTGAATGGCGTCGGCGCGTCATTGTTTCTGGCTCCGATTGATCCTCCGTCTTTCAGCTTCCTCAACGTCCAGATATGTTAATTATCAGAACGTACTTGTCAGGCAGAGTTGCTGGCACGAAGCGAAAATGATGTGCTCATTAAGAAAAAAATTTCGGGAGCTGTTATGAAAATTTGTGCAGCTCACAACTGGAATTTTAAACGAAACTTGTTTCACAGTAATTTTAGTAATGGGTAGCAATTCCTACATTTTAATTGTTTAAATCTTGCTTTCTTATTTGTAAATATAGAATAACTTGCTAATAGAATAATTATTTTGTTAATAATATATATGTTTTCCGAATCTTTTAATAATATCCCTATTTGTGATAATCTTTCATATATAGAATGTTGTTTATAATCTCTGTAAATCTGTCAAATGCTAAAGGCTATGGTCTTTGTATTATGAGTTTCATCAGAAAGGTAAGCTTGCGACTTGAAGCGTAAATAACTTTAATATCTATAATAATAATAACATAATAATATGATGGCATTTAATAAGAAAGATGTGGTAGAAATAAAACTTTTAGATATTTTATTTTAATACATATAACTTGATATATATATATCTTTATTTTTTAAAACAAATTACAAATTATAATAATTCTATTTTTATTGTAATAATTTAATTCGTTGTATAAATAAGTGTAAATTTAATATTATACGAATAATGTATCAAAAATGAGAGCTTTATCAAGAGATAGAAAAAATTTATTCCATTATATATAATTTATATAATTCTAAAAAAGCGACACACCAAAGTATGCTATAAAAATGTAACGAGTGTGCACGCAATTCTCAACATCTGTAACATGATTGCGGAGCGCAAACTGAAGCTCATGGTTGCGATAATCCAATGCGTGTCGCGAGAGTTCTTTCACCGCAACCCGTTAAACTTCGCTCGAAGGTATCCAGCAGCCTAATATAAAATTAAAAGAGCTCTTTATACATGTGTCGCATATATGTGTCGCATGTCGGGGGAATATCAGGTTAAAGCTCCCTTCTCTCATCCGCGCTCATGCGAATATCCATGGCGCGAATACAACGCCGAAGCGTTGTTACAGCGTGCAACTGCCTCTCACGTTGTTTTGTTCACTGAACTAGTTCCCTCTCCTCTTACCTCGCCGATTCATTCCATCACTACCAAGCTCACAATCTCACCATCACTACCACCACAACCACCACCGTCACCTCCACCACTACCACCGTCGTCATCACCAACACGCCGTGGTGCGGCCGCAACAGCGCGATGCCCACAGCAACGTCATCGAGATCACCATCACGCTAGAAGACAGAACGAAAGATGGAAGTGGTACCAAGAGAGACGGCGAGTATTTAAGTGAGGATTCCACCGAATACGTCGAATCACCATGGAATTTCGAGCGGGTAGACGCGCGAGCCGGTAATACGAGGTGTGTTCCTGGGATAATTATCTATGTTACAGCCATCGCACAATTCTCTCTCTCTCTCTCTCTCTCTCTCTCCTCCTCTCTCTTCTCTCTTCTATCTATC